GCTGCGCGGGCCGCGTGGGCGGCATGAGCTTCGCGCTGTACCGCGTGGGCGCCGCGGCGCCGCTGCAGTTCCGCGACTCGGCTCAGGCCTGGGCCGACTTCCGGCTGCCCGCCGCCCGCGCCCCCGGCACCTACAGCTGCTACTACCACACGCCCTGGGCGCCCTACGTGCTGTCGCAGCGCAGCGAGCCGCTGGTCGTCAGCTGGGACGGTGAGCCCCGCGGACGCGCCCCAGACCCCGGAGTCCGGCCCCCCCCCTTCAGTCCGCGGGGTCCGGGATCCCGGCTTTCACCCCAGCCGCCCCAACGCAGAGGCGCGGGGCTCCACCCCGGGCTGGAAGCCTGGAGGGCGGGCGTCCCTGCACGCTGACCGCGCGCTCCCTCCGTTCCCGCAGGCGCGTCACCCGCCGACTACACCCGGGGGAACCTCGTCCGCCTGGGGCTGGCCGGCCTGCTCCTCCTCGGCCTGGGCGCCTTGCTGGCTTTTGACTGTCGCAGCGCGACCTCCGCCCCGGGTGGCATCCGGCCCTGAGCCCCAGGCTGGAGAAGACTCGCCCCACGAGGACCGACGAGAAGCTGGGGTCCCTGGGACTGGACTGGCCCTACCTGGAACCCCCTTGCCTATGAGCCTTATCCCCTCGGAGGACCCCAGTCCACGCTAACCAGCTTCCCGTGTGCCCCAGGCTCTGTAGCCGCCCTCCCTGGGGGCTCTGCCAGCTCCAGTCGATGGAGATGATAAAATCACCAAACCCAGACTCCTTGCAGTTGCCTACATTCTGACTTACAGCTTCACGGCGCCCCTAGAGGACAGAGTGGAACTGCCCACAGGGTCTCCAAGGCTGTCAGTCTCCACGGAAGCAAAGCCCAAACCACACCCACTGCCGTGGAGTCCATTCTGACCCACAGCGCCCCTAGAGGACAGAGTGGAACTGCCCACAGGGTCTCCAAGGCTGTCAATCTCCACGGAAGCAAAGCCCAAACCACACCCACTGCCGTGGAGTCCATTCTGACCCACAGCGCCCCTAGAGGACAGAGTGGAACTGCCCACAGGGTCTCCAAGGCTGTAACCTTAGTGGAAGCAGACACCTCTCCCTCCTGTGGAGCAGGTCCACTTTCAGCCAAGTGCTTTAACCATTGTGCCACCAGGCCTTCTTTCCACTCAAGTGCAGAGCTTCTCATACGCCAGCAGCTGTCTTTTGTGGGGACTTTCTTAATTACTAGTGCTATTTTAATAAACATCCCAGCTGTGGGTGGCTTTAACTGACAAGCCTATTCTATCACCGTCCAGGAGGCTGGGAATCCGAATTCAGGGCGCTGGCCCCAGGGGCAGGTTTTCCCTGTCTCTGTCGATCCCTTGGTCGCTTGGCGACCCTCCTGTCCTGTGATGCAGGTTTGCTCCTTTAATCTCTTTTAGATTTCCAACGAGAATGACTGAAGACCCACCCTACCCTAATACTGCTCCATTAACATAACAAGGAAACCCATTCCCAAACGGGATTATAACTACTACAATCCTACAGTGGCTAGTATTTACAAGACAATTTTTAGGGGGAGACAATTCAATCCATCACCGGGACCCACTATATACTAGGCACAGCTGAGTTTGGTGGGAAATCAAAGTAATGGACTTCATGTACTGGGTTCAAATTCTTTTCTCTTTTTAAAAAATTGTTCTGGACATACAGTTAGCACAACATTTGGGTTCACATTGTTGGGCATGGCATTGTTTGTGGAAACCAACCTTTCCCTCCACCGCCCTCCTGTCTGTCCTTTGTGGTCCTCGTCGTTGCCTCTTGTCTTTGTTTCTTCCTCCTTCCGTTCCACGCATTCTCCTTCCCACTCCCTGACCTTCTCCGATGTTATCAACCCCTTTTTCCCGCCTTTCTGTGCCCGTCTCGTTCTTCAAGTCCAGTTGGAATCTTCAGACTCATTTCTTTCTCACATTCTTTTTCTCTTCTCATTTCCTTATTTCTCTTCTCTCTCAACGTTTCACACAACTTCTGTTTTCTTATGACGAATATATATGTGAAAAAAGAAAAAGTCAACTCACTGCCATCAACTCGATTCTGACTCGTAGCGATGCCCATTGTGTTTCCCAGGCGGGGAATCTTTACGGGAAGTAGATTGCCCCATCTTCCCTCTGAGGGGTGGCTGGTGGGTTTGAACTGCCAGCCTTCTGGTTCGCAGTCAAATGCCTTAGGCACTATGCCACCTGAGCTCCTAATACATAAGCATATATAGCAAGACATTGGCCAGTTCAGCCACTTTTCCGTGTGTGATCAGTGACATTATGTTCATCACGTATGGCCGTCAGCATGATCCGTTTCCAAATTATTCTGTCACCACAGCAGAGACGCAGTGCCCCTAAGCAAGGACTCTCCCTTTCCGCCTACCTCCGCCCCTGCTAACCACTAATAAACTTCTGCTTCTATACATTTCCTAGTTCTGGACACTTCGTGTTCGTGGACCGTGTAATGTTTGTCATTCCTGCCTGGTTTATTTCACTCAGCATGTTCTCAGGGTTCATCTATGTTGTTGTATGTATCAGCTCTATCCCCCAAAAGAATCGAAAGCAGAACCCCCAAGTCTATGGCCCTTAGAAACCCTTGAAGCCTGGAACTGAATGCACCCCTGTGGCTTGACTGTCACATAAACAGCAGCCCTACAACGTGAACAGTAACAGCGGGAAGGTCAGCACTCCTTAGGACAACCAACCCCATGAGACCTAACGGGCAGCGTGTGCCCAGGGACAGAGCTCGGGAGGCAGGAAGGGACGGGAAAGAAGGAGGAGCGGAAACAGGAAACGGGGGATGTGGGAAGAGAGCTGTTATGTCATGGGGACTGCAATCCATGTCACAGAACAAAAGGTGTACAAGTTGTTGAATGGAAAACCTATTGGTTCTGCAAACTTTCACCCAAATGACAATGAACAAAAGAAAAGATGTCAAAGCAGGCATGATGCAAACAGAAACTTATACACCAATAGTCATGACAGTTCATTCACAACAGACAAAAAGTGGAACCTACCTCCATGTCTGTGAGCAGACGGGTGAGTGGATGGACAAGGTGTGGTCTCCATACAATGGGATATTGTTGTTCGCAGTCGGGTCTGACTCCCAACGGTCCGGCCCATCTCACCGACCGTTGCTGGGCCTCAGTCCACTGTCCAGTGTGCCCGTCCGTTGCAGGGAGGGTCCCCCTCCGCTTTGCTGACCCTCGGCTTCACCAGCCGTGAGGTCCTTGCGGCGATCGGTCCTCCCTGACGCTGCGCCCATGGACGCCGGCCGGGCTCCCACCATCCTCCCTTCCAAGGGCGTTCCTGTCGCTTT